GGGCGTCGCCGACGCGATGACATAACGCGCTGCGTACTCTGTGGGCGACGTTGCCGCGCTGCCGGGTGTGTGGGTGGAGGTAAGGGGCGTCCGCTCCCCGAGCGAGAGGGCAAAGTGGGGTGCGTGGAAGTTGGAGGGGTCCCGAGGAAAGAGCGGAGGGGGCGAGGAGACCCAGAAGCCTGTCCTCCGGGTGCTGGGGTGCAGGGCGGTGTCCCGCAGCCCCTCCGGGCCCTTGCTGACGGCGCCGGGCGGCTGGCCCGCTGTAATCAAACCTCGAACTTCCTCTGGGGAGACGTTGCGGCGCAACCAGGCGGAGAAGCTGAAGGGTTAGGTTGACGTGCACAGGGTGGGTTTTTTCCTTTTCGCGTGGATCTTTGGGGAACGTCACTTATTTGGTAAATGAACACAAGTCTGGAGACCTGGCTTGTACCCTTTGGGGGGGTGGGGAGCTGCCGCTTAATCTCTTCGAAGGCTGTAGCTCATCGGTCACATGAGATGGTAGGACTCAATATATAACTTTTAAGGCCCCTTTCGGAGCTACCATGCTGTGACTCCTGCCTCCCGGGATCTTAGTTTTCATCATACTCCTGGGTGGAAACGGAAATCTTTTAACTAATGTTTTAAAAACTGGGTTGGACACACTGGTGTAGTTAAGCCCTTTGCTTTTATTAGGATTGACTGTGTAGAATTTGTTTGCAAGTAAGCTTTATACATTAATATTACAACAGACTGATTGTCATTTTATTAAAGATCAGAATATCTGTATGTTTTCTTATTGTTAGCTCTGTGTCTTTCATAGACTTAAATGTTTACTATTTTTTCATATTCTGCCTCATTTCAGAGGTTAATCTCCAAAGTGTATTAATGTTGATGCTTTTGAATTTTTTGTCACCCTTATTCCTTTCATTAGCATTTTTTAAGGTGATCTGCATCTTCTGACTGAGGAAAAGATGGTCAACGTCTTGAAAGGCGTGCTTATAGAATGGTTAGTAGTTTTGATACTTGAGTTTTATAAAATTCTTTTGTTTTAAAATATGACTGAATCACATTTTTCAGCTTCTCCAACTTCATTTTTCTTACTTAGATAACAAATGGGACAGATTTTGTTGCCAGATTTCAATGTCTCTGTTGAACTGATGTAATTGGCATTATTTCCACCAAGTTTTGGTCAGAGGCAGCATATTTGTTAGATTAGCTCTCTTTACAGAGCTGCTGTTCTGAAACCATCAGGGACTGACTAGAATTTTTGGCACTGGCAGGGAGAAGGGCACCAGGTGTTATACCAGTGGGGGGATCTTGGTTCAGCAATGTCGATACTTGAGTTCTGGCTGAGAATGAATTCAGAGCCAAGACTCAAACTGTAAGAGAATGAGATTGGTGAAAATGTCTTCTTTGTTGGATTCCAATACTATCAACTGCTAACCTCACACCAAACATTTTCCCAAGTCTAGCCAACCACAGCAATATCAAAGCAAGCAGCATATGCCCAACAAATGTCTGTCCAGTTTCAGGTGCTAGAGCAGACCCTGGGTGTGACAGCTGACACACTTGGTTTGGCCATTGCTTCAGCAGGGAAGATTGGGTACAGAGATGAAAATTCCAGCCAGGTTACAGCATAACAGCAAAGAATCTGGAGTAATAGGTATTATTAGACAAGACTCATCCTTATGGGTTTGGCTTCTAAACCTGTATTATATATGAGAAGCAAATAACTAAGGCCAAAACCAATCCAACTGTTCTGTTCTTTCGCATTGTTTATGTATCTTGTGAGCCTTTGCTGCTTTGTAGAGCCGTAGTCACTAAAGTTTCCTGGGGAACTCAGAACAATGCCTAAGATATATGTAGAAGGTGCTTAGTAAATATTTGTTTACTGAATGAATTTTAACAGAATTGAGTCTAAATCCCACAATAATTTCATTTCTAGAAGCTTACTAAGGAAGTGATCAGAACTATAGATAAAAATGTAGGTAGCTGAATGTGCTCTTAAAACATAAAGTGTTGATTATGACATAGTTTTATAGTCAAGTAATATAGCTATTAAAATATGTGAGAACATTTTAAGTGACATGAGATGATGATATTGTGTAATAAAGGTTAAATGAAAAGGGCTGAATTCCTTTAATAAATAACACTGAGTGTTTATCAGATACTGTACTAAGCATTTGATAATATTGTTGGTACTCACACCACTATGACATATAGGTGCTAACCTCATTTTATCTATGCAGAAATTGAGGCACAGCTTGCTCAGGCTAACACAGCTACTAACCTGGGATTTTAAACCTTGGTATTTTTGGCTCCAGAGCCCAAGCTACTAAGCCTTATGTAGACAGTCTCTCCAACACAAATCTAAGTATAATATTGTGTTAAGGTGTTTTTCTTTTAATGTACAAATATAGTCTTAGATTAATATCATATATATTCACAGATTAATATTTTTGTAACGGAAACAGTAAATCTGTTAATAGGGATAGAACTAGGTAATGTGAACCTCTCTGCCTAGATCCTCCCACACACCCAAATACTCTTGGCGTTTGAATTGCTCCTCATTTGAGTATCTGCAGTGAGCAAGGTGCTTTAGATATTCTCTAATCTAGCCATCCTGCCACATAAACATGGCACTGTCTCTGTCTTGCTTCTTTAGGAGCCCAAGACCTGGAGCTGTTTAGTGATTTTTATATCATTATACATATTTTGACTGGCTGAGCTGGGGCTTGGGGCTAGGCTTTCTGAGTTTAGTACTCTCTTCAGAGTCTTGTGTCTTTGTAACAGTAAAACCTATTATATGTCATACTGATATCTGGGACCTGTTCTGGTTAACTTAACATCCCCTGTGGTGGCCCTTTTTTCTCTCGAGACCCCATTCATGTAGCAGGTACTTACTGAGCGCCTACAGAATGCTGGCCCCTAACTTAGGCACCCGTATCTCGGGCTGGATAAAACTCAAATTCAGAAAACATTTTGGAAGAGGCTTATTAAGAGGGAAACAAATGTAAGTGAACAAAGCCATTTCACATTCAATAACAATTTTCTAAAACATTCTATTCTCAGGACACAGAATTTATGGCGAAATAGTTTTTACATAATTATATCTGTTAGCTAATTATCATCAGGAAGGATAGTTTATCATTGACTGTAGACAGTGCTGACAACTTTATCCAACACACTAATAACTTTATGGTCTGATTTACAGCTAACTACAATATTCTGGTATACTTTTTAGAATCATATGTTATAGGGGCTGTACTAAGGGTTTTTAGCAGCAGATTGATTGATACCTGCTCTTCACATTTCCAGGGCAAAGACATTTTTTCCCGCTCACTAGCCCTGATCACAGGACTTGAACCAACTACTGTACATATGGGCACTTGGTTTTGGGTTTTTCCTTGCCAGCAGGCTCTCCCAGCAGCCCTTCATGTGTAAATAGAATAGCCCTGTATTCAGGCAAAATATTCGAAGCCTTCAACATTTCATAACAAAATGTCCCTTAAACTTTTGAGTGTCTTTTTTAATTATTACAAATTATATTTCAGGTACATGCTTCAGAATTCAATCTCAAATTGACTGCTTTCCATTTTCTTTCAAAAAGTTTAATGGAGGCCATTGATAGTAGTAGTAGTTTTTATATCTCACTAACCTGTTACCTTAAGTCATCTCATTTGTCAGTTAGCAGTGTTTCCCAGGTATGGGGATACCACTGGTGTTCAAGATGATTGGTAGGAGAACGTACATTTTGCAGGGGAGGGATTAGAACACAAAAGTAGTTTTTATGTGACAAGTTTCATTTATTTGGGAAAAAAATAAACACATCAAGGTGACCGGTGATTTGTACTAGGTGAAGTGAGACTTAAAAGTTGTTTTGAAGGCAGTTTAAAGAAAACTATTACATAATATGTAATGCAAGTGTAACAGACATGGCTAAAGTAGCAAGGATAGCATTTGTAGGCGTTCAGAATAAATCACCCCAAGATGTGCCTCTGTGGTATGTAGAGTATTTTGAGCTAAAGGCAGTTGAGACCCTGTGGGCTCAAGAGAAACTTCTGCCCCTGCTAATTACCTACAAGAATTTAAATTAGGGGCCTTGCCCATAATAAAAATTATCACCAGAAATAACCTTTTCTGACCTATAGAACAGGGAAAACATCTAATTAGTGAACGTCTGTTCCCTTCTGAAGCCTCAGGCACTTTACCTCATTTCTTCGCTAAGGATGTCAGATATTCCTCATTTTACCGTTCTGTCTCTGAGCCTCTCGGGTACGTGGGGTCCCCACGCGCATGAAATTCAGTTTGAGTTTCTACTGGTGGTCTGTCTGCTGTTGACTTGATTACTCAGCCAGCCAGAAGCAGTTACAGAGGCTGATTCTAGGCTCTATTAACTACAAAGCTTTGAACATTACTTTTTCACTGTCGATGACAAATTACTCTTTTTAAATGTCATCATTGGCCTCTTTCTCTTAAAGTTGCACTAACAGTTCTAAGATGAAACTACATCTATAAATCATTAACACTTAAGACAGAGTGGGAGTGAGAGTTTAGGACTCTTTAATTTCTACATGCTCAAAATTCTAATCACTCAGGTTCTGGTATAATTTGACAGTAAGGTTTCTCACCATCGTGNATTAACCTAAAAATTCTACATGCTCAAAATTCTAATCACTCAGGTTCTGGTATAATTTGACAGTAAGGTTTCTCATCATCGTGTGTTTATCTCTGCAGTGACCCTGCCATGAAGCAGTTTCTGCTGTACTTGGATGAGTCCAATGCCCTAGGGAAGAAGTTCATCATTCAAGACATTGATGACACGCATGTCTTTGTCATAGCAGAGTTGGTTAATGTCCTCCAGGAGCGAGTAGGTGAACTAATGGACCAGAATGCTTTTTCTCTTACCCAGAAGTAAAAACATTAGCTATTGACCACTTAGGAATTAAAAGTAACAGATGTCAGAGACTGTCACCATTTAGCATCTTATGTAACAGGTTAGAGAACTGCTGAGAAGATGCTGCGGGAAAGAATGGGGTATCATTTGTTCAGAAAAAGCCCCAGAACAGATTTTCTTGTTCTGTTGTATGTTTTTTAATATGTGTACCCTAGAATTTAAAAGCTTTACCAGTTGGCTGTAATTTGACTTTCATTGTCCTTTATTAAAATATAAGTGGTTTTCTGATCTTTTTTATGCCAATTTAATGACTTAGGAATATAATGGAATATTACTTTTAATTATCAGTCTAGCCCTAGATGCTTATTTTTCTTGTTCCTATTAACAATCGTGAGTTTTTGTAGTGTGGGTATGGTTGGTTTTGTTTCAACTTGAAACTTCAGGGAAGTTTTTAGTCAAAGTATAACACATACAGAAAGTACACAAGTCATAAATGTGCAAATTTCAGGATTTCCACAAATAACACACTTCTATAACCAGCACCCAGATCAAGAAAAAGATAATTACCACCATCCCAGAGCCCTTTGATAGAAACACCCCCAAAAAGGGTAAACGCTGTGCTGACTTTGAACAGCATAGTTTTGGTTCTTTATTAACTTTATACCAATGGAATCGTGCAGGATGTATTCGTATCTGGCATCTGTTACTCAGCATTGTATTTGTGAGAGTTGTCTGTGCGGTTGCATGACATTACACAGTTGACCGTGAACAACACGGGTTTGAACTGTGCAAGTCCACTTATACATGAATTTTTTTAATAAATACTGTAAATGTACTTTCTGTATGATTTTCATAATATTTTCTTTAACATACTTTATTGTAAGAATACAATATATAATACATATAACTTACAAAATACATGTTAACTCTTTATGTTATTGGTAAGGCTTCCAGTCAACAGTAGGCTATTAGTTGTTAAGTCTTGGAAGAGTCAGAAGTTATACATGGATTTTTGTCTGCACAAGGGTTGGTGACCCTAATCACCCTCATTGTTCAAGGGCCAACTGGAGTTTTTCCATTCTCATTGCTACACAGTAGGTATTCCATTGTTTGCCTCAACCACACTTGAGATATTTTGGTTAATTAATAAATCAGTCCTAAAACTTCAATCAACATACATTTCATTAAACCTCAATCTGACCTTGATAAACATACATCAAAAAATGTTGCCACTATCAAGTGGTTATACTAATTTTTCTCCATTGGCAGAATGTATACAACTTTGTATTTGTTTGAGAAAAGAAATGAAAGTACAGAATCTAATTGCAAATATACTGGCATTAGTTACATTGATATTCTGTTATTATAATAGTTTCTTTAGTTCATTAATTTCTTCACTTACTCATTCAAAAATAATTAAGTATCTATTACATCCTAGATGTAAAGGCTAGATAGTTTTTTAAAAGATGGATGGGTCCCGGCCGGGTTTAGCTCAGTGGTTGAGCATAGACCTAGGATCCAGGAGATCGCTGTTGGATTCTCAGTCACGGCAGCGCATGCCCGGGTTGCAGGCTCAATCCCCAGTCGGGGACATGCAGGAGGCAGCCAATCAATGACTCTCTCATCATTGATGTTTCTCTCTCCCTCTCCCTTCCTCTCTCTGAAATCAATAGATTTTTTTTTTAATTAAATTTAAAAGATGGATGGTGCACCTGTATCAGAAATGCTTTTAACTTCAAGTAACAGAACACAAGCAAAGAGTTATTTAAACAATAAAGCTTAATTGTCTAATATGACAAGAAGTCTGGGGACAGATAGTTCCAGGTGGTTCAACCTGCTTCTACTCTGCCATACTAATCATGTTGGCTTTTCATTCCTGGCTTATTGCCTCATGATCACAAGACATTGGCTGCTGCTCCAAGGTACTATACTCACAGCAGCAGCCCAAGCAAGGAAAGGAAGACTCCACTTGCCAGCAGAGAAAATAAAGAAAAACTTCCTCCTAGTGTAACACTCTTTATCAGGGAGAAAAATCTTTCCCAGAACCTTCCCACTGACAAAGAGGAATACAATAATAATTGACTTCGGTCAGTGATTCTCAACCTTTAAAATCACTTGGGGTCTTTCCAAATTTCTTATGTACATACTGTTCGGTCCAGGTGGAGCTTAGTCCCATACTGTGAGTATGTGCTGCACTGACTTGTTCCAAAGAGTAGGTTTGGACCAGGTGAAAAAGTAACTGTACAGTGGGGAAACCAGGAAAGTACTACCTCAGCCAGGTAATCAGGGTTAACACCCTGATAAGTCATGTTGAGAACATGTACTCCTAATGTGATGTGATGAGAAGGGCACTTCACTTCTGTAGGTTTCTTCCTAAAAAAACACCCAGTCTTACCGTGAGAAAAGCATCAGACCAACACAAGTTTAAGGGAATTCTACAAAATACCTGGCCAGTGCTCCTCAAAGCTGTGGAGGTCATGAAAAACAAGGCAAGATTGAAAAACAGGATCAGAAGACTAAGCAGAAATGACTCAATGTGAAGCCTTATCCCCAGTGTGATCTGGAAACAGGAAGGGACACTAGGTAAAATCTAAGAAAATCTGCATAAAGTCTGCAGTTTAGTTAATATTAATGTTCTGTCTGCTTTTGTATATCCTTGAAGATTTAGAAGTTTCTGAATGTGAATATTTTATTCTAGTAGTAATATGCCTACACTTGTTTCAATAAAAAAGTATAACAATTGTTAGAAGCATGAATTTTAGTATCGAGATTTCTGTGTTTGAATCTCAGTTTTACCATTGAATATTGATTTGGGGGCAAATTACTACACTTCTCTAAATCTTGGTTTCATTATCTGTAAAATGCAGATAATCATGATAATACCTCATGGGGTGGTTTTAGGATTAAACAAGATAAAGCCTGTAACATGCATTGTTACAACATGGCACATTCTGTTTGGTGATTCTTTATCCTACCATCCCGAAATAACATGGTGTGTTGTTATGACACTTCTCATAGAACACACATAGAGGTGGGGCAAGAGTAGGTTTACGTTTGTATGGAAAATAATACGACAATAAATAATACAAGAATAAACTTGTGTACTCACAACTGTAAACCTACTTTTACCCCCATCCTGTAGAACAAAATCAACTTAACACATTAACTCTTCAAATAAGCTTTTAAAATTAGTTCTAAGAGCCGATCTTGAGATCCACACTCTGCCAGGTGGCAGTGCCCTATAGAAAGACTTCCAAATGCACAAGAAGCCAATTGAGGTTATTTTAAAATTACACTTCAGGGACAGGGAGCACCTGAACTTTTCCCCTCTTGCAGTCTTCAGGCGAGCACCCCTTAGGAATCCTCAGCACTCCGCAGACCCCATGACCTCAGTCTCATGAACAGAATACTCTCTTCCCCCCTTTCCCCTGCCTCATCCTCTCTTGTAAAGCCAGGAGCATCAGATGTGCCTCTGGAAGTCTTGCCTAGAAAGCCAAACTTCGGTGCCTGCTACATTAGTGTTCTTGGATGCCCCAACATGAGTCCACAGTCCTCTGAGAAGCATTGGCCCCCACTGGAGGAAGGACCCTTTTCCTCCAGTAAATAGATTGCTTTTGGGAAACAATTCCTTTTCCACCTCTGCCATAGGTGTGTGAAAGGCCCTAGAGCCCTGGTAAACCAAAGGTGGTGCGCAGGTGGGCAGCCTCGGCCTCACCTGGAAGCCCACTTCAAATTTAATGAATCAGAATCTCATTTTAACCAGCTTCCCAGATGATTCTTGTGCACGTTAAAGTTGGAGGAGAACTTCGTGAAGGAGCCACTCTGGGACAAGGGAGAGATTTGAAAGCTGATTTGTGGAGCCACAGGAATAGATTAAGGGGTTAGATGAGGGTCTTCCCAGCACTCATAGCCCTTAATCAACCTAGAGCGTTTCAAGCATGTGACCTGAAACCCCATCTGTTCCCACCCCAATTCCAGGGAAAAACCTGGGGATTACAGACAATCATAGGGCTATGGTGCTACTGTGAAGAAGCTTTATAATGCCACCCAGTCCAGGAGGGCAGATACACCTTCACCAAAATAAAGCCAGGCTCATTATTTCACAAGAAAAAGGGTCAAAGTGATGTTAGTAGAAGAAATAGAAATTCTGAGATGTCCCAGTTGACAGAAAGCACAGAGCCGCCCTGTCCATTGCCTTGGTGCAACTTAGGAAAAGGTGGCAGGTACCTGGCTTTGTTGCTGGTAGTGCTGTTGGGTAAAGAAAAAGGCGCCCCCCCTTCTTTCACAGGAGCTCTGTCCCCATGGACCCTGTCAGCAGAGTGCCCTTGTGTACAGCCGTAAGCGATGACCTGGAACCGCAGCACAGAACGGAGGCCTGACGGAGGCAGGGCAGCTGGCTCCAGCCTACCCATCACTCAAGCTCCCTCAGGCTACACCAGTCAGGTAAACGCAGCATTTGCTAATCTTATACAACATTGTGACAGAATTTATCCTGTTGTACCATCTAGGATCATTAGATGTCCACTTTTTTATGTTAATTATCCCCTTTTAAAAGCAGTATGTAACAGAAAAATAAGAATATTTTAAATATTTTTAAAAATATTAAAATCTCACCACCCTAACCCAACCAAAATTAGCATTTTGTTGTATTTTCTGCAAATCTCTGGTGTACCCTGCAAGCTCTGGACATCACAGGCCATGTATTTAGAGAAAATGGACCACATTCTAGAGTCTAGTGTCCAAACTAGCCTTTAACACTCCAGCACCTTGATGTGGGCTCCACCCACCTCATTCCCACACTTTCTCCATTGCGCCTGCTCTTCTAATCGAGTGATGTGTAAGTTAACAGCTTAGGCTCCTGCCCCTACCTCCCACCCCACCTCCCAGTTGCCAACTTGCTTTCTCCCCCAAGCCCATCTTCAGGAAGTTGACCTGGAAAGAGTTCCCACTTGGCTCAATCCAGAACCCAGCTGACCAGGAACTCTACTTTCACCAGATGGTGTAGCCCAGAACCGCTCCCTCCCTGCCTTCAACCCAGAAGGTAGAATTTGGGTTCTTTTTTCATGTCATCTTACTTGGTTATCACCTGCCTTTCTCCCGTGGTTTAAGTTATGAACAAGAGTGTTCACAGCAAGTGCCGAGACCCACTGCTTTCACTGCAGCCACTGATCCTCTTTTTTAAGATTTCATGTGGTGCTCTTTCCTTTCCCTCTGGCACAGAAAGTCTGGCATTGGAGGAGGTGAGGCTGTGAGGGGGCATGCTGCACAGAATACAGTGGTAGGATGCCCCAG